TGTGTGTGTGTGTGTGTGTGTGTGTGTGTGTGTGTGAACCTGCCACGAGAATGAATCTTCCTCATTCTCGTTGGGCATGTCTGCTTTCCGTTTTTTTTGCAGAATGTTGTTTTTTTTTTGTGTTTTCTTCTTTTTTGTCTTTTTCTGTGTAGTACAGGTTGTCTGAGGCTCGGCAATAAAGTCCGAGGCTCAGGACATGATCGGGATTGGGCTACCGGTAATCCGAGCCTCGGACTTGATAGCTGGGTGAGGTACACCACACATCGGCCTGCGGGTGTCAGCACGAAACCCGCACCACTTCGGAGGCCGCTGATTTTTTTTATCAACAGCGCCCCACGCCGCGCGGCCCCTCCGAGTTTTGCTTCTGGCGACAAAAAAAATTCTGCAAGGCTGGGGCCGTGCACTTGTGGTTTATCGCCATGGCTCGAGAGACAGGGGAAAGCTAGCCATACTACCATGAACTAGGGCACTGGGTTCCATTTGGTGGTGCCAGTGAACCACACCGGGATGGGCAGGGAGGAGAGGGCCAGCGTTTCCATGATAAGGATTCAGTATGTTCCTCTCGGCCGAGTTAGGCGAAGGGCAGACCACCGGGTTACGTCAGTCTAGTAGGTCGAAGCTTAGCCTAGAGGAAGCAAAGCACATTTGGATTCATGCAAGCCAGAGCCTCGGTGATCGACACAATCACGGCAAAGACAGAAGGGGCATGGAAAGAACTACGGTCCTTGCTGCAAACAGAACTGGACCCATAAAAGAAAAAACACCACATTCAGGAATTCACGGAAACATGGACTGACAAAAACAGAAGACTTTGCTTCCTGGATGACAGCAATGTCCTCCAGTGGCGCCCCTGGTTTTCGACTGAAAACCAATGGGAGAGACTGTCGAGATGACACTTTCAAGTTGTTCACAGGCCAACAAACTTTGTCCTCCTCCCAGACCCTGGGTGCCCCATTCCAGATCCGGCTAACCCCCCCCCCCTCCTCCTCTAACCCTACTTCCCTCTTCGTTTGTGGTAATCCTAACCACGGATCGAGCCCCAGCCGGGGGAAACCTATCGGCCCCGAAACGAGAGACTCCTATTCCTACCGGGAGACTCAATCCCTACGGCCAAAAATCCTCGGCCACGCCCTCTTCTACTCTGATCGGCGACCCAGTACGGAAAGCCGCGACGGGGCGTGAGGTTGCGCATCACAGGTCAGCGAGTTGCTGTGAGGAATTTGGCTATTGGGGGGAGGGAAGGGAGGCGGAGGGCAAAGACGGGGGGGCAGGTATCTGGTCTGTTGGTGGAAAGATGGTGAGGGGCAGGCCAGAAAGCGGGTGGGAAAACTCAGCTAGGTGGCCTACGGGTCCAGTGGCATTCCATTTGTCACCATGGTTTCCAGCGCAGGTGGMGTGTGTTRTCGAGGTCCCCCAGCTTTCATACCGGGTCCAACCATGTGAGTCTGAATGTGCTTGTCAACTCTGAGCTCYGTGCCTGGTCGTCCSTTTCCCAACATTTCTTTTAGGTGGGTCCAGGCACTATTGGATATTATGCCTTACTGTGTCAATSATATGTTGTCTAGCTTGKGSAAAGCCAAAGGTGTGCTCCTTGCRCTCGTGGGAGCAGCGGGCTCCCCAAGTTGTCATGAGCACCTCCAGGGGAGTATTTGAGCAGGTTGAGCTGGAAGGCTGATGCCAGGTCTCCCAATTGCAGGACTGCCGGCTCTCAGGATAGGACTGTGCATGTATGGTAGTGCCAGGCTGCGCTCCACCACTGCCATATTGGTGTGCCAGTGGACAGTAGAGCAAGCAGTGTTCCAGGTCTGCAATCCGTGGCTGTACTGMTGCCATGCAGAATGAGGAGATTGRTGACAGTTCCCCTTTCTGCTCCAGCTGTGATCTGGAGACTATCCAGGTGCACTGGGCMTCGGCAGACATATGTAGATTATCTGCCATTGTAATGCCCATGGGACATGGGGTAGAGATGTGTATAGAGTGACGGTCACCACTTAAAGCATTCCATTTTTTTTTTTATTTTTTTTTTTGAAAGAGGTGCTGGTATGAGCACCCCCAGGACGGCTCCATCTATTGGTGGGGAGCAGAACAACTGGAAACCGGGTCCAGCGTCCCTTACATTATGGTAAAAAGGAGATGAGTTGTGAGATAGCTGCAGTGATTCCTGTGCTGAGAAAACGGGTCCAGCGTCCCATTACCATACCTCCTCTGTTTTTTTACTACTAGGACCCCCAGTCAGGGCCCAAACGGAGGCGCTGGGGGGCACCAGCAGTCCCTGTCTGTTTCCCCTGACCGTCCTCCAGGCAACCTCACCTTGCTACTCACTGAGAATCCTATACTTCGATCATACACTCCTGGCTGCCAGCATTGACTACCCCAGTGGTCGGGGGGTTGACTGTGCAGCTGAGGACAAGGAGAACA